TGCGCACGCAAATTCGAGGTGATGCTGAAAGAGGTTTCTAAGGCCTCAGAATGCAGAATTTCTTTCTAAAACAGGTCATCACACAGCACCCCGGTTTGCCAAATGATCCACAGCAAAGTTCCCTTCCCTGAAGACATGGTTAAGAACAATTGGTGCAATTTGCAAGTCAAGTTGAGCTTTATCATTGATCATTTTGATGATGATCATTGAGTCAGATTTAACCAAAACCTGCAGGACAACATGATCAATGAACCACGTCAATCCCAAAAATCGCAGCTTTGGCCTCTGCTATGGTGTTAGTACACTTGCCAAAATAGGCAAGCTTCTCTTACTTCAGTCTAATCCGGACAGTATCTCTTAGCTAGAACTTCAACTTGTTTAGCAAATGACCTATGTCAAGAACATTTTGGTGCCATATCATTTTGAATTATCTCTCAGGCCTGTGGTCAAGAAGATTGTCCCAGTCCGCGTCCTCTATGCAGCTTGCATCCAGCTCAAAAAGCACATCAATTATTGCATCAGTTCTCGTGGACAATTTATCACTTATTGCACTCCAGGCAATATTATCGCATAACATCTCATACTAGATTTCTTCTCTTCAGAAAGCTTCAGTCTCACATTGGTGTTTACTGAATCAAACAAAGTCTGGTACTCCGGAGTCCATCGACCTTTTTTTTTTTTTTTTTTTTTTTCTGATTGGGCACTTTTTACCTTTGTCATGCAGGGGCGGCCCGACGAATTTTGTGATCTAAAGCCAAATATTATAAGGGGCCTTAACTTTTTTTAAATTTTTATTTATTTATTTATTTAAGTCTATTTTTCTAGCTTTTCTTAAATATAAAGTTATTAATAATTTTCTTATAATCAGTAACTCGTAATAAGTATTTCTCAATTGACAATATAACTAATCCACTTAACCTTTCTTGAGACATTATTGATCTTAGGTAAGATTTTATAAATTTTAATTTTTGAAAACTTCTTCCACTAAAGCAACGGTAACATGAGTTATTAACATTATTCCATAAGCAATATAGACATTTGGAAAAGAATCAAATTAAACTACTATCTTCTAATTGTACTATTTTTCTTAATTTAATTCGAAAATAAATCTAAACCATCAATATCGAATTGATTATTATGCTTTAAGGAACATTCAAGATTAAAGACAATATTTTTAATTTTTTTTTATCATCTAGTGATCTTAGTTTTTACAGCTAGATAAAAAACCAAAAATATTTTCATATGCTTCGAATTGTTCAAATATATTTTGAAGTGAAAAAATAGCCTTATCTACTATATAAAAGTAATCAATGGATAACATAGGAGACATCTATATTTTTTCTCCGGGATCCCACTGCTTAGTTTTCAATTCGCATATGACCATCAAATGAACTGTGAATAACCTGTCCTCTAAAGGACTCTTTGAAAGATCATGAGATTTCATTATCAACATCCTCTTTAAATTATTACTTCATATATCACACATTTCTTACGAAATTTGGGTTCGACATTCATTTCAAGTGTAATTTCCTTAGCAAAAGTCATAGCTTCTTCTCTAATTTTGTTAAAGAAGAAATCAAACTTTCACTTCATAGATTTTTTCTTAAACTTATATATAACCTATTAGGTGTAATAAAAAAATGGGGCCTCCACAAATGTGGGGCCTAAAGTAGTTGCTTTACTTACTTTATGGAAGGGTCGCCCCTGTTGCCATGTATCCTTCACATGAAATTGATGTTTTCCAAGTTCATCAGCCAAGACCTTTTTTCTGATTGGGCACTTTAAAAATTTAATGCTTTATTATTTTTAAATTTAATATATAAATATATTTTTTACATGTAAATTTATTCGGTACGGTTCGGTATTTTTTTGATTTATTTTTATAATATAAAAACTTACCCTAATTATCGGTACGGTTATAAATTTATAAAAACCTACGGTTAAACCTAAAATTTGATTCGGTACGATACAATTAGTCGATTTAGTCGGTTTTTAAATATCCATTAACACCCCTACTAGTTAGTGGCAAACAATTGAGATCACTAGACAGTGAGATTTGAAGAAAAAACATGTATGAAGCTATTCTTTTTTACGTCAAAATGTATGAAATGATTTTTAGGTCCTACTTAGTGGTAAAAATGAGATTATTGTGTGATAGAATTTAAAAATATTATCATAAGCTTGAATGCATTCTAAAACATTAGATAAATCTTTATGACTAGTAGAGATATGTGCAAGATAGCTTAAACACCATCGTTATAAATAACTTTAATTAAGCTTTATATGAATTTTATTGTGTATATTAACATAAATTATATGACTGGTACAATTAATATATTCCTTCTTTTTATTATTAAGTGACAACGTTTTTTAATAAATAAAATATTGTTCAGGAGGTGATGATATTATAACTCTATAAGCCATTACGAACAAAGGGGAGGTCATTTTCCTCTTGAAACAACTTGTTAGTGCTTGTACAATAATTGTAATATATGTTCCTAGCATGATTTGGAAAGATCGACTAAATGTTTTACTTATCATTTTAATATGATTTATAAATTTCCCCATACTCAAGGTATAGTTGAGGAAATTAAGTAACACTACTAGAAATCCGGGGAAAAACGACCGCAAAAAGCGACCAGAGTTGGTCGCTATTAGGCTAAAAAACGACCAAAAAGCGACCACAGGGGCCTGGTAGCTATATTGATGGTCTCTAAACTAAATGGACCAATTTTTCCGGATATTGACTATAGAGACCAACTTTGATCGCTTTATTAATTTAATAATATAAATTTGGCGACCAAAGTTGGTCTCTAAATATAAAATACGTTATTTATTTATTTATTATTAATCATTAAAAAGCGACCAACTTTGGTCTCTAATCCAAATATTATATTTTAAAATCTGGAAACTAGAAACCAATGTTGGTCGCTTTTTTATTCAATTATTTATTTATTTTATTAAACTAGCGTCCAACTTTGGTCCCTAAATACATGAATTTAATTTATTTTTTAAATATTAGCGGCCAACTTTGGTCGCTATATCACCAGAAATTTTATTTTTTTAATGAAATAGCGACCAAGTTTGGTCGCTTTTTGTAGAAATCTGGGTATATAGCGACCAACGTTGGTCGCTATTCTCCAGAAAATTATTTTTTTTAACATGAAAAGTGACCAAATAGAGACCAACTTTGGTCGCTTTTCTGTGTATTATTTTGGCAGAAACTGCCTGTTTTGGCAGCTACACCACCTGCCAGTCATACCAAAACCCTAACAAGCAACAACAACAACAATTCAAACAACAATTCCAATAACAATACCAAACAACAACCCAACAACAACAACAACAACACAAAAACAACATTAAAAGCTACATTAAAACCAAGAAAGTGTAAATTTCAATAGAACTACCAAACTAAGTTAACTCTTATTACAACCCAATGGAAAACAAATTGTATTTGTCTAGTTCAAATTGTCTAAAATTCATTCATTGTTTGGTACATCATTATCATCACCGTCTGATGAAGTTTCATCATCATCACGGTATTGAGAAGGGTCTACTTGTTGATGACGGGAAGAATGATCACCGGGAGGACGGGAGGAACGACCACTTTGAGGACGGGACGAACGAGCACGGGGACGGGAAGCCTCTGGCAATGATGGCCGAGACCGGGGAATCGAAAAAGATCCAGCTAGGAGATTTTTGATCTGCTCTTGCATGCTCTGGCACTGAGCGACCACGCCAATATACTGAGCATCTCTAAGCTTTTCTCTTTCCTTGGACGCTTCTAGCTCGGATGTGAGCTTTGTCACAGTCTCCCGCATAGCGGAGAGGCTCTCCCCATCAAGTTGCTCGGCTTGCGAGGAAGTCCCTATTCCTTGCATTCCACACCTATAGAGATGGAATGTCTTAGTAGGAAGTCCGTATACCTTCCCCCATTTTGGACCGCTTGCAGCCCGCATACATAGTCTTTCAACATCCTCGGCCGAAAGTTGGAATGGCGCGCCCGACTCATTAGGTGGCTGGCTGCGTATGAATTCCTCAGCTTCAACTCTGAAGCGATCCTATAAGAAAAAGTAAATTGAATTAGTATTTCAAAGTTTACATAAAAGTAAATGAAAATACTTAATGAAAAGTGAAAACTTACATGTACAGTCGAGGCATGTCCCTCGACCCACCTTTCTTGATCAGTTTCTTTCTTCTTCTTCACAATATGAGTCTCCCTGAATAGCTCATCTTGGTTCATCAGACGACCCAACTTCTTTTCCTGAAAACTCATGAATTTTAATTAATAAATAGAATAGATATACTTTGAAAATTAAAATAAATTAAGCAATTACGTACCATTCTTCTTTTTATTGTCCCCTGGCTGACCGCACCTCCAGTGTGCATTGATCCTCCCTTCTCAGATGCGCGAGCTTTCTTTCCCTTTTCGCTCTTCTGTAAGAACTCAGTAGTAAGCCATTGCCTTTGCAAATCATCCCAAAACTCCTGAAGCAACCAGCCAGGCTTCTGGTTCAGCTGTCTAGCTATGGAGAAAGAATGCGACAATCGCTTGCGAGCTTTGAGATTAAAATTTGCAGCCACGTCCGTACTATACTGGTGTTCCCATACACACTTGCTCTGTATTTCAAAAGTTAAATATTAAATGGAAATATCATAAATATAAATAATTATACTGCTTAAAAGAACATTTATACCTTAAATTCATTGAAAATTGCCTCCTTCAGTGAGAATGGGAATTCACGCCAAGACGCATAAGGGGCATCATAAAGCTTTCTGGTTGCTTTGGTGATTATCCTCGTAGTAATATTACTCGGGAGGAACCTGCAATTTAATAAATAAAACAAATTAATATCTTAGTAAAAACTGTACAAAAAAATAAACATAAAAATAACAAATAACTCTTACCCATCACCCTCAGGGACTATGATGATCCTGCCATACTGATCATAATGCACCTCCTCGTCAGTAGCAGTAGCAGCATCATCATCCGAAACATGTGTATCAGAGGCATGTGTGGAATGAGTAGGGGGTCAGAGCTACTATCCCGCAAGCAAAGGCCTCCAATAGGTGGAGTCGTTGATGACGATAAATGTGATCCCTGTGACTGCGACATAGCTGCACGGATCGCAAGTGGCTGTGATACTGACTGCTGTGACCCGAGTGGCTGTGACCCGACTGGATGTGACACTGATGACTGTGATCCATGTGGCTGTGACATGGATCGATGCGATCCATGTAATGCTGCTGGGCGGGATCCACGTGGTAGTGAGGCAGGTGGATTGTATGTCGGACGCACAGTCCGATGGCCCTGTGAAGAAACACCCGGGGTCTGCATGAAGGTGT